CCCATCTGCCCCATCTTTATTCGAGTATTCGACTAAATAAAAAAGCTAAATAACGTGAATACAAAATCTTCTACAAAGATCTTAGCAGGCCAGCTAGAAGGCTTAGAAATATGTGCTTCAAGCACATGCAAGTATGGATCATAAACATTATAACCAATTTTTGAAATTAAAGCATTGTACAAGGCTTTGTTTCATTATCAGAATGGCAATTATCTGAGAATGACAATTCCTGGTTTGGCTGCATTCCCTGTCTGCTGTAAAGGCAACTCCCTTGCAAGGATATATGGTAAACCAGGTGCAAAAGAAGACATGAAAATTGTATGTATATATATCACTAGAGAAGTTGGATGGCATGATTCACATTTGCTTTCTGAAGACATTTATAAATTTTCTGAAAATATTATGAAAAAGCAGAGATAAGTGTTCTCTGGCTAAACAAGTGACTGGCCCAGAAAAGTCTAGCACTGAGTATGAAATGCAGGCATGCACCATCTTATCCAAGGTAAATTCACTGTTTTGACAACGCTCTGAGGCTGATCTTGAAGGACAGGATGAAATAATTGTTAAAATACAGAAGAAACCCCTGCCTGGCCCTCAGCTCCTGGTAATGTTATCTGCCAGGTCAGGTGTCAAGGGTCATGTTCAGACCACTTAAAATACAATTTTAAAAAAACAGAGGAAATTAAATTAATGGACATAGAGTCTCATAAAGAGAGAGAGAAGCAAAAGGTGTGGGATATGTGACAAAGTACAAAATATTCGAAAAACACTGTTTTCCTAGTTTGGCGTTAGGAAGCAATGGCAAGGAACACCCAATTCCAGACATACTCACCCCAGATACTTCTCTGTCCTGTATTAAATCGCATAAATACTGTTGTTTTTCATAAAATCATAGAATCATCTAGGTTGGAATGGACCTTGAAGGTCATTAGGTCTGACCGTTATCGATATTGTATATCCATTTCCTCCCAGAGAACCAAAATAATCACCATAATCCAGCAAAGCAGTAACAGCAATGGGAATAGAAATCCTGTGGATTGGTTTTAACCAAGTTACAAATGGCAGAATGAAAGAACGGGCTCACACTTTGACTCATGCTCATGCTTTATCAAATCACACTATGACTAAACCACAGCCAGTGTTTCAACTTTGGAAAGGGACACATGCGTATCTGTTGCATATTTCCCATCTTCATTTTAAAAACAACTGCACAGAAACCTGCTAGATGTGACTGTAATACAACCAGCACAGACTGATGACAAAGGTCAGAGAGGCATTGGAGAAAATGACATGCTTTTTCAAGTTTTTGCAGTTACAAAGTATACAGGCGACTTTCAAAGAAAAGGATACTTCCCCCATTATCTTTGGAATTAATGTGAATCTCAGCAAGTACCCAAAAGGAATTTTTTATTATTGCCATATTGTTTAATGAATGTATAACTCAGGAAGAAAAGTGAATAATTTGTGGCAGCAAGACATCAACTGTCTCACTTGTTACTTAAAGAGTTAATTTTAGAGCAAGCCACAGCTACTTTGCCCTGACTGTATTTAGTGTGGGTTTGAGAATGTTTCAGAGGATTTACTGCTTTCGTACCCATTTGTCCCTTCTTAACAAGTGTAAGATTATGGAGTTTAAAAAGAGATAATAATTCAGGAAAGATGAAACAAGTTCTCTTTCAAATACTTTAATGAGGAGCATGACATTTCTTCTTGAACAAAGGCAGCTTCTCAATTTCTCCTAGAAGTAACTTACTTCCGCAATTTGTCTTGATTTGTTACTGTTTCTGACTAACACCTTAATCCTCCTAACCAATTTTTGCTTATTTCCACAGTCTGTTATCAACAGAAGTTTCAAAATTATGAAAATAATACACTTCCTAGGCAGGTGAAAAGAAGAGAAAGATTTTTCAAGATATATTTACTCTGCCATCAAAAAGAGAAATGCATCACTATACGTGAATAATACTAATCTCAGACCTATGCCAGATACTGGCTCTACCTTGGAAATAACAGCATGGACTTTCTCCTTGGCCTGATGCTCAGGATTGCAAGGGATTTTATACAGCTCTTCCTGACACACATTTCCATGGTTTTTCTATGGCTGGTATCTGAAGTAGTAAAATTAAATATTGTTTGGGAAAGTCTCTGCAGGCTGCAGTTATCTATAGCTGAAGCTCAGCCGTACTCTTTTTAACTGCAAGGTAAGATTTTTCTACATAAAGCAGAAATTGGGATTTACAGAAATTACCAAGATTGCACTCCACATACCCTGAAATACACACCACAAGCTCCACTCTCCTTCCCTCACCCCGCAAAAAAAAAAAAAACAAAAAACAAAAAAAAAAAAAAAAAAAAAAAAACAAAAAAACAAAAAAACAAAAAAAAACCAAAAGATGTACAGTTTGAAACAGCAATTAAGTAAACATTGGAATGGAAACTAAACAGTGAGATAACAAAGCTGTTCTCTTAACTGTCTCTCGGAAGAAAATTGAGCAGTAGATGATTATTTGAATAAACCTTTCCAAATTCAATTTCTCTGGCTCATCTGCAAGCATCATCTAAGTCTGAAGACCCTGGAAAAAATTATGGGCCAGCCAATCAAAAGTAACAGTCATAATGACTTTCAAGAATTTGTCTGTCAGATTGTGGCACAAATCTTCTAGAACTTCTGTAATCATCTACAGGGTTGCCTTTGACTTGGGACCTATGAAACAGTGGTGTTTTTTGAGGCAAATCCTCTTCACATGTCCAGCCTCGGTTAATTTCCCTTATTTCAATGCTATGAGTCACAGTGACATTTCTGAGACCTAATCATCCTCTTTTTCTGCACTGCCATTCTCTTGTCTCCACTGCCATACAGCTGTTCTTGTGTCTCCCATTCCTGTAGTGCACTGCTGCACTGTCCTTTAGGAATGATGGCTTGCTTCCCTCTTCTGCTCCTTTCATCAACTTAAAGTTGAAATATAATGCAAATGCAGTATTCATAGTGTATATTTTTCATGGGAATCTCCTGTATCTGTACTGTACCTGGGTAAGTAACAAATATAGCAATAAAGCAGCTAAGGACTGCAAGGATGTCTGCAAGAAAACCCTGAAAAAATATTTATTTGCTCACCTTCAACCAACCAACCAAAAATAATGAAACATTTAATGACCAAAATTCATTTTCAGTGAAAAAAAGTTACATTGGGGTGGATTTTGAACTATGTTGTCACTGCCCCTAGCCCCTAAAATTTTATCAAAAGGAAACACTGTAAATAAAAATAAGCATTATACATGGATTGTCATTCAAACATCACCTTAAAAAACTGTTTAAAAAAATTTAGCTCTCCAGAGCTGCAGCAGCATTTCTGTAAATTTTTTTGAGGCCTTTCAGAGGCTTGAAAATCCATTACAAATTGTAACTAGCTCTAGCATCACACTCCTCTTTTCAGTCTTTTTGTGTTTTATCCTTTGTTCTTTTCAAAAGAAGCTTCTGGATTTTACTGTGACAGTAAATTCATAACGGTGTTTTCAAAAAAATTATTCCACTGACTCTTGAGAGGAGCAGTTTAGCCAAAGTATGAACCTATCCATTCATCTATTTATATCTTCTAAAGCCAGGAGCCTACACTGCTGACTGTAAGCCAGTATTTTGCCTCTGATATTTCCTAGGTATGTTTACATCCAGATTAAAAACATCTGCTGGACCAGGCAGATTTATCCACAGTTCAGCCAAAGCTCTTAGTCAGATTCAATTTCCTCTTGTCCTGTTCCCTTTTACTCTCTTGAAGCTCCAACAATTCATCTCTTCCAAACCTGAAAATAACATCTCATTCTCAGATTCAAAACCTTTAGATCCATTTCTGCAGCAAATATAAAAGCTCTCTGCACCTTCACAGGTCTCAGGTCCACAGATACTTTGTGTTTATTCCCTATGTAGCTCCAACCTACATCAGATGGTAAACTGCTTTCTGTTCTCCTTCCTTGTTTTATGTCAGTGATTAGACAATAACATCCCAGTCTCTTTGAATCTATTTCCTGTGGTTGGAATCAAGTTATTTTCACTAACATTCTAATCCTATTTCACTGACATTCTAAATCCTACCTAAAAATCCATTTCTTCTACAACCACTTCAGTTTCACAGTCACAAATGTAAGCTGAGCATGATCAAGTTTATAATTTTTTATTTAAACTTTCTCATTTCATTCTACTCTTCCACATATGTCATCACCTAATTTTACTTCCCCTACTAAAAGTAGCTTTCCCCAGTGTCAGAGCAAAAGATATAGTTCATATATTATTCCATTGGTAATGATACCAAACTGCATGAACAGAAAAGGAAAGCTTAACTCTAAATTTCAGAGCAACTCAATATTGCTCTGTAGTAAAGCAAAAAAATGTACAGTTTAATCGGAATTATTGTAACAATTGACATTATTTTTTCACAATTTTAGCACTCAAATATAGTTGGGTATGTAAGAAAATTTCTTTTTTAAACTTTGGTTTCAGATGGACTTTGACAAAAGAACTCAGACAAATCTTATTTAGACAGTGACTCCCACAGCTCAAAGCCAATACCTAATCTTTATGTACTTCAAAAATAGCTTGGAAACATAACTAGAGTGAAGTTAAAAGACTTAGCAAGCAAAAAAGCAGACTAAAAAAGAAAAATAGTCAGACTTATTTAAGAGTATTTTTAGTTATTCTGATAATTTTGATTATGTGACTCATACCCCAGGAAACCTTTGAGATGATAATAGTCGAAGACAGGTACCTTCTGATTCAATAAAGTAGGCACAACACATCTATTCACTGAAAATCATGAACTGGATGCACACACATCTGAAGTCTGCAATATCAGGTTCATGTAAACTTCAGATCCTTAAAAGAGTGAAGCAAGCCCCAGCCCCTCACTCTACTGCTGTTTTACTAGCTGTGCCCAGGCTACCCAAAGCTCCACAGAAGGTGACATTTATCAGCAGCCCTGCTCACAGAGCCAGGTCCCACCAGCACTCACCACTGGACGGTGCACATCCCAGAATGCTCGCTCCTGACTGTCAAGGATCTTCCTCTCTATCTTGTCTCTCTTCTTGTCAACCCTGTCAAAGTCACAGGACATTTAAAAGAAACAGCGTTGAGGACAGTAATTTTAAACACAAAATGTGTCCAACCACTTCTCCCCCCTCCTTTCAAAAAAATCATGCAAAATGAAAACGGCTCATCTCCAAAGGAACTTACTTTGCTTGTGCTTCAGCTTGCATAAAAATAAACTCCCATTTCCGAGCAAAAGCTCGCTGTAGCCTGGCCAAACTCTCCTGCAAATACATCAGAATTTTAGTGGGTTATCTTGCAAATTATTTACTCTTTAATAGGTTCAGGCTTTATCTTTCCCTCCTCTCCTCACCTCCCCCTCACCAAAAACGCAATACAAGTCATGATATCTGTGTCAGTGTAAAAGGACCTTACTTGTCTGATACAAAGTTTGTTCTTGACACCCAATGAGATGGAATACTTTTGAATGCCTCGACTATTTTAGTTTTGAAACTCTGATAAAAAGGGCAGATGCATCCTTCAGCAGAACATGGGATTTCTGAAACATTTTTATATACTGTGTGTTATCTTAGCAATTTTGAAATAGTACAAAGAAACATCCTTGTTTTGATAGTATGTGACAATGAAAGATAACAGCAGTTATCTCCTTTCTGGATGATCCACATGACAATTCTTCATCAGTCATCTATGCAAACAGTTTCCACTGAACAATGTTGGCTGCCATTTTTGGTAGTATTGCCAAACCTCCACAGCTATCCTCATTTTTAAAAATGCAGATTATAGTTCTTCAATACTGTACAGGAAATGTATCTATCCTACAGCCTACTAATAATAACAGGAAGAAAATTTATAAAATCATTGCAAAATTCTTTCTTCCATTGATGATGGAACATTTTCACTGTCTCCAACAGAGCTTTCTAAATCTCTTCCCAGCTTAATCAGCAGCAGTATGCAGTCTTCTTAACAAGTGTTGTTTTTACTATATTTCTATGCATTGCAAACATATCTCTGTGCCATACTCACTGAAAATGAAGACTACAGAAAGAGAAGAGCAGACTTTCTAGAGACCTTGTGCATACCAGAAAAGGCTCTTATGGATTGTACATTGAAGGGGAGTTTTCTAAGGCATGTGAGTTTAAAATTATGCATGTCCCACAGTGCAGTACACTGAAAAACAAGCTTGTGCCAAAAGAAGCAATACAGTGTGTCAGCATGGTGCTGTGGCTGGAGTATCTGGCGTGTTGAGAGGCCTGGCTGACTATCCTGCTATCAGGTCACAGCAGCACAGCTGGACAGCTTTCAGCACAGAGACAGGGCTGTTTGTGAATTTTATGTTGACAGGCTCATGAAAAATTCAGGAACTTTTTGGGGGTAGAGTTGGAATTCAAGACATCTTTCTCCTTCCAACTCCCTCTTTTTCAAGCTCTTCCTGGCCCCAATTATCTTACCTTGCCCGAGGCACAGCACAACTGTCAGGGAGTAGGAATGCCTCTAGTCTGACCCTCTTTGCCTCTCATCTAGCTGATGGGAAAAGGCTCAAGTGTCAGCATCACTTATAAAGAATGAAATTTACATTTCTACATCTATCAAGAGCTTTTGGAAATGTTGTCAGGAATCCTTCATTCAAACCTTAAATGGTGTAGAGAACAACTGCTTCCAAAAACTCATGGTGCAACTGGGATTTGTGAAGTTATTTGTGATCCTGGCATGGGGATCTGAGCAGAGTAAGATTAGAGACGGACTGTAATCTCAACACTTGTCCAGTTAGCCTTCACTATCATCTCTCAAAAAAAGCCATTTAAGACTTTTGAGTCTTAAATGGCTTTTGAGCAGCGTTAGACCCACAAGCTGGAAGAACTGGATAACTGATAGATTCTCACACATAATGCCCATAGTTCTCATGCTTCACATTATTTCACAGGCTCATCAGGCCCAGTAGAGAAATTTACTTTTTGCCAGGTACTTACAGCTTCATAGTCTGCTAGTTCTAGCCTTGCTTTGTTTTGCATTGTCCGCTTGCAGAGGTAAACAGCTGGAACAGAACAAAATAAACAGAATTTGCTACTATCTCACAAAGATGGCAGATCAGAAATAAAAGCTTCAGGTCTGGTTTAAAGCTAGCTTTTTTTGGTTTGAGTTCTCCTTTTGTTCTAGAAAGCTTTAAATATGGGATCAAGGCTACCAGGATTGTAACTGAAATGATGAATCAGATACATAGGTTCATTAAATAATAATAAAATCTGCTTTATGCAACAGACATCATGTGCAAAATTCATGAGGTACTCGAGGTCAGGGTTTTTTAATGGCCAGGGAACTAGCACATTAAAGAAAAATGGCAAAGACATTTTTCAAACTGTCTGTGTATAAATCATAATGCATAAGAGTTTTAGCAGGAGCTGCTGCTGCATTAGTCAAAAAGGATTGTAAGAACATGAATACATGGTTTTATTTATTTTGACTCTACATTTAGAAAACATAAACTTTCAACCTAAGAAGATTTCAGCTAAAAAATAATTCTAGATAAAATTCATGTCTCATACAGATTAGTTTGCTATAACCGACACTTAAACTAGAAAATAATGTGAGACCAAAAAATGAAAAAAAAAAAATTTTTTCTCGTATGTCATCTGTTACATACAAGAAAAAATATTATTTCATTTATTTTCTAAATAAAAAAATCCTTCAGAAGACCTGTCCTTCCTCCACTTCATTCAGACAGAGCAGAATCTTTGGTAATAAAATGCTGAAGTACATTTTCAATAGACTTTATTTAGCAGCAAATACTTTCCAAACAACCCTGAATATTTTACAGATTCCCCCACCAGTGAGACAATGAGTGCAGCACAATTCCTAATTGTGCAATACTTACCCACTTCATTACTTCAGAGCACTGCTCATGTGAGATGGATGAATCTTTTGATCAGAGTAGGTAATAAAACCTTAACTTATCTGTCATCTTTACAGTCAGCAAAAAGAGCCCATAGTTACTGGTTGTGCTTAGGAACGTTCCTGCTCCCTGACTGCCAGCTGCTCTACTACAGGAGCAAAGCCTCTCTGGGAAATAACTTCACACAGGAACGTAATTCTTCCTAACTAGGAAGAAGGAGGGGCTCATTTTACATATATTTGAATATTAAGTTAGTAAAATATAATTTAAGATTCCATGGAAATATTTATTCCTGGCAAGACACCTGCAAATGCATGCAAACCCACTCCAGTGAATGTTCTTTTAGTTGAATTGATTACAAGTACTTCTACCTGCAATTAAAGGTGTTACTTGAGTAAAATGAGTTATATTTTAATGCAATTTTTGTCTTTTCTTCCCCTCCTCTTTTCATGTATTATTATTTGATCTATTTTCTTTCACAACAGTTCACTTTCCACTCTCATAGGGAGCCATGGTCTCTTTCCCTATTCCCTGCCCCCCCACATACCCTCTGGTTTCAAGGCAGTTTCTGTGTCTACAAAATGTACAAAGACAGATATATATCCATGTCACACACAGCAGACAGTTTCTGTAGCTTTCATGTATTGTAATATTATTATACACCTACACTAATGCATTGGCATGCATGCTGAAACATCACAAAAAAGATGAGGGGATGAATTTTGGACCTTTTTTACCTAGGTTGCATTCACAATCAGTACACTGGTAACAGATTCTTGAGGAGAGAGAAGGTCTTTGTCATTTAGCTTCTTTTACAGTGAAGCATTTTCCTCTTTTCCTTCAAAACTGATTATTTCATCGAACAAGAAAAAAAAATTCCTAAGCCCCTTGTAAATCTTAGCAATAAAATACACACTTTATATGAGTGTGTAGACAGTTCTGACAATTCCAGGGGTCAAAATTTGTCTACCAATTTAATATCTGAACAGAAACAAAAAAAGCTCCCTGTTCCTGCACTTAATCAAAACTTTTAAACCACATTCTTATAGTCCCAGTGCAGGCACTTTTAATTAGTTTAGTTCTTTCTTGAGTCCTATTGTGGGCAAATTTTGGGATTATATTTCCTGCTACCTCCTACAAAAATTCTCTCTTCAGAGGTAGCTGACTGCTCATCTTTCTGTCAGGATAGGTTTCATCAAAGAAGTATCTTTAGATAACAGAGATTTCAACACCAGAGAAACAATGAGCAGGTCACCAGGAGACGAATTAGCTTGACACATTATTAATTTTAAACTGTGTCTTCACTGTGCAACTCTACTGCAGTTATTTTCCCTGCAGGGTTCTTTTAATGACCTTCTTTGCTCCCAATCCATAGTAGAGTCCATATAAAGATGTTTGGTGTTCATAATGAGCATAACTTGGCCAAGACTCAAACAGTCATATTCATCCCTTTTTTTTTAAACTGAAATATCCAAATCCCTTCCCCTTCAGAGGAGTCTAATGGTTAAAACACCTGTGGCTTCGATTTCTTATGCCCAAAATGTTTCTATGTGCCACTGGGAATAAGGTAGAATATGCCCAAGGAAAAATTACTATTGTGGGAAGTACAGCATATCCACTAGGGTAGGAGAAAAAGTGCTGGAGGACATTCCTACTCTAACTCAATCAATTGCCATTGCTATGTGCTAACAATTCCATCCTTATAAAAGTGCATGTTTGAGCCTGTATTTAACAGCTAATTGTACTGCCACGAAAAGCTGACAGCAGCTCAGGAATTTGTCCTCACTTGTTTATGCTCTCTATCACATTATTTGGCTTACCTGTAAAAAATTCAGTAGCACGTTGGAAAGCAAGAATGTGAAAACCACCCTCATTTTCAGCCAGATCATTTGAAGATATAGAGTAGTGAGGTTTTGTTCTGACTTTTAGGACAATGAGATTTGAAATATGGCTGCTCCCACCTTTCACAGGCACCACTCCTTTTCTGCACCAAATCACACATGAAGTAACTGTACTCGTTCAGTAGCCCAACTTTGAGGATGTCAATCCATTTCCCTCTCAAAGCAGAGTCAGGATCTCCCAGAATTTCAGTGAATTACGGTATCTGCTTTTCCAATCCCATAGGTTGACAGTGTTTTTACAGCTTCACAAGAAGTGCAGCCTGCAGGAAGGATCTCCAACTATTTCTATATATAGCTCTCAATTTATCTGTCCTGCAAAGGACCTGGTCAGGGCACTCAGTACTCCAAGGAGTTGTGATTCCACTGAGGAGCCCATCTAGGAGTTCCCCTGAGGCCTGTACCCTTGAACTGTGCTCAAGCCTAGCTACTCCCCCTGGCACAGGCTTGAGTTGTGCTGTAGATAGATCTCTAATCAGCCCTGTAGCCTATCCATGCTGCTGTCTTGTTCCTGCCTGCACTGTTGCCAACCCCAGTTCTTGCCTACCTTTCCTTGCTTGCCACTCCCTGACAAGGGTGCTGCAAAATGCTCACCATGGGGATGAATGATATGCAAGGAACAGGGTCTGATTAATAACCTCAATTTGCTAAATATGGACTGCCTTATACACTTATTTTTAGAGCCAGTGTATTCTGATGGATTTTGCAATCAACATAATTGCCTCTACTAAAGTGAATTATATATTAGATGCTATAGCTTGTGCTTTAGAAGTGACTGATTACCATGAGAGAACAGATTCGCCAATAATTTTAAAGGCCATATTAATTTGTAACATTTCATAATGAAAGATGGTCAGTGATGCTTATAAATGGGTATTTGAACAACAAACAAGTGGTGAAACACATTTCTGTAGCTGTGCAGTAGATACAGTCTACTAGCTCTTGAAGATTCTGTTCAGGCATTCACAAAATATGGGCAATCTGAGAGTTTCAAGAGAGATTACAATGCCAGAGTTGCATAGAGAGGATGCCTATACTTTCCCTCTTGCAAGTTTTTAAACTGTCACACCCAAAAAAACCATTTTCATGGTTCACTATATGTTTCCTATTCTTTACCATTCACTTGCATTTGAAAGATCCTAAGAAACCTCTATAGATTTTTCCTTTAGATAAGATCATAGAGATTATGACACATTTCATTCTAGACTCAAGAAACTGGACTGAGTACACATTATATTATACACACTTAAAAAAAAAGTAAAAACCCACAAATAACCAAACCCAAAACTTTCACCAAAAACCCACACTGGGGAGTTTTATCTGGTTCCTAAACAGGGGCTAAATCTTCCCTTTTGCCACAGTGGAGCAAAGGCCACAGCTAAATTCAATGGGAGTTCAGCTGGGCCTCTGAAGACCACAGAGTATGGCACCTACACCCTCACCACCACATACACAAAATCCTTCCATAACTGTGCCAGTGGGGTCACATCTGGATTCATCCCCAACAGTGAGTGTGCTTTCAGTGAACTCTCGGTACCTCCACTAGGGCCAGGTTAAATTTATCTAGTCCCTGAGCCAAAATCCTGTTTTCAGAGCCAGTGTGTATAAGCCTAGTCTGTGTCTAAAGAGCAAAGAAAAAAGCAAGTACTGCAAAGTCTAAGGGTTTCCAAGTGCCCTGCAGACAGACAGCTCTCCCTCTACATCCAAGTGCCTGCTTCAGATGGAGAATTACAGGACAATCAGCATAAAACATGACTGCAGGATGTAAAGCATGAAATTAACTCTTTTATTTAAACATTGGGATTTCTAGGGCTATTTCATACCATCTTTAGGTCACCTCTGCTCTTAGTCAATAGAAAAAGAATTGCCCTTATCAACAGCTATTGACTTTCACTCAGTCTTAAAAATGGGTCACCACAGAGCCCTGTATATCTACAAAAGGACCACACTCTTAAGTAAATGCTAAAAAACTTATGTTAGAAGGAAGACCATGATCAGGTTTATGTATATTAAACTGCCAAATCATCAAAACCTTAACTTTTGAAACACTTCTCCCCAATTCTAGTCATTACTCTTTAATCCTATTCATTCCTATAACAATTCAGGAAAGCAAGTCAATTATAGATTTACACAAGCAGAGGACATTCTTACATAAACAAAGGGCAAGGAAGAACCCAAATTTCAAACTACCAAAGAGATCAAGAATTAGAAAAAAGCAAATTCATCTTCAACATACAGAAGTCCCCA